CATTTAAGATGGAACAGGAGGAAAAATCAAAGAAGTATTAACAGTAATAAAATGTGATGAAATGATGAGCTGATACAGTCAGCTACTTTTTATCATGTAGTTTATGCACTTACACTGATTACACTGACTACTTACACCAGTTTATACATATACTCTGATTGTTGTTGCTTACAAGCTCTCTATATTTGGTCTGGTGCCATGTTCCACCCACAAGTGCGTTTCTTTCATAGCAACTGTTGGAAGGTTGGACAAGCTTTACAGAATGATAGCAAAAAACAAATTCAACCATATCAAACATTTTGGGTTTTTTTGTCAGTTTTTTAAAGGTTGACCAACAGTGACTTTGGAAAGGATGTATTTGTTGGCAGAGCATGGATTGGTCAGTTGTGTTTTACAAGATATATGCAGTTGTTCGGTGTTTTAGAAGTACTGCTGATATCGATAAAATACTCAGAAAAGCATATAGGTATTGTAATATATTTGGTAATGATAACATGTCATATTTCCTAACCCTCCTTCCTGGCCAGTACTTGTCACTCTGATCAAAGCTCAAGGTTCAAAATATGCTGTCAGACATCTTACTAAAATGATAAAGGCAGTTTAAACACTGTCCTCACTGCCACTGCTTCTCTGTATGTATTCACTTAGTGTTTCTTCTCTCTTCGCTGTCTGTTGACTTTCTCTCTTTCACTGAGCAGCGAGAGCTCAGTGTCAGGTAAAATATTTAACTTTCCAATTGAACTCCTTTAATTGATCCCCATTAATCCATGACTTCATGTTATCCTGTTATCCTGTTGCGGTGTGTGTCTGCCATTCTCCCTGTAAGCGTTGTGCATCCTTGAGTAGTCCTGTGGTCCCGGGAGAGTCTTTGTGGTTGTTTGTCCCATCATTATCGTCTGTTAGTGCTACATGGAGAGACAGCAAGCTTTTTGATTTTCTCTCTACCTGTAGCTGTTAAGACAGAGGTCAGCTGCTGAGCTGTAAAGCGTTTAGTAACACTGCCACAACACCTCAGATGAGCTGTCAGCTGCTTTCCCCAGAGCCAACACTGCAGACAGCCCCAGAGCTGTGTGTGTGTGCGTGTATTAATATGAAAGCAAGCTGCTCACACCCAGTCCCTCCTGAGGAAAACCACACAGATCCTGTAGCAGAGTTCTGTCCTTTGTTCCAATCTTCACATCCTTCACAGATGCTCCCCTAACATTTCTCTACACAGTTATTGTTCATTTTAGAGCTTTAAAGGGAAATTCCTGATTTTTCAAAAAACAACAAAAAAATCTGCATAATTCAATCACTAAAATGTAAGCATTCAGAGTGGTTTGATTTGAGATGGTACATTGTATAGAAACTTACTCAGATTTTCTTTACAGTGGTGTTGATAGGAGTCAGGGGTTGTGATGCTACAACACAAATACAGTCAAATGTAAAAGTATGAACATCCTGAATGACATATTTTGTTGATGTTCTACGTTAAAATAAGTTAGCACATCCTCTATAAAGAACAAACTTAAATATGGCATTAGTATGCAATTTTTAGTGCACAATTTCAATTTATTTTCTATAAAATGTGATGTACGTTTTGCACAGGCTACATTTTATGCTTTTTCCCTTAATATGTTAAATTCAGCAAATAGACAGTAATTGTGCATTAAAATGTGCAGAATGCTTAAAAGCATTATTCAGCTTAGTCTGTATCTGCATCTGTAACGTGATGTTGATTGCTAACAACTATAATTTTAAAGCATTCCCCTGTACTTAGGATAGAACTGAAAACCTTTTTGTTTACAATGTTTGAAATATATAATGCAAATTCTATTTTTTTTTGTTTTGTCATATTATACATTTGACACATAAAACTTTCACTTTAACTTTTACTTGATACTGAAACCCAAGTTCTAAATTAAGCAGGCATGAGAGACATGAGAAAATATTTGAAAAAGTTTCTTATTAAAGGGCCATTATCATGAAAAATGACCTTGCTTTTTTGAAATAAAATACCTTGATGCCATTTGTAAACATTGTTAAAGTTTTCAAAATTCACTTCCCATTCATGCAAACTAAGCTAACGAAACAAACTGTTTTGAATTGATTGTTTTTGAAACAAACTCATTGACATATATTCACCTATTCAGCCTACAGCAGTTTAGCCCAACCCATTCACACTGAAGTTATAAGGAATGTTTCAGTTGGACTGCTTTTTAAATGAGGCACACTACAGGACAGCCAATCAGAACTGAGGTCATTTACATTTTTCAATCTTACAAGCACAGAAACAGAAACCACCTGTGTAAATGTAAGGGATATGGAGAGGTTGAAGAATGGTCATCTAAAAATTAATTATGACTTACGGCTCTTTTTTGGTACATAAAACCACATAAATATTATAAGTGAACCACAGGGGAAAAAATACAAGAAAAATGTAGGATATGGACCCTTTCGGTTTTAAACAGCTTCTGAACACTGAAGCAACACAGTAAAACTATTCTAGATACTTTCACTGTCTCTAAGGGTGTCTAGTATTCACCCATGTTCAGGTAGGAGTCTGTGAAAACTCCTCTCATACTATTACACTGGTAACATATTACCTTAAATACATCCCTCTAAAAACTAATCCTATCTCTGAAAGGATACAGCTTAATTTATAAATACCTTTGAAAATAGAATTCATAAAACCTTCCTGCAAAAATATAAGCAGTATATGTGTAAAGCTTTCTGTATGTAATCTTTTCTTCTTATGTACATACTGTGTTTTACACCTGTACAGAGGAATTACCTGAGCCACACCACAAGCATTTCAATGTAAAGAATACTTGTTTTGTCATATACATTTGACACACTAAACTTTAACTTTTACATGATTTTGTTTCACGTAAGTATTTACTGACGGAATTAAACAACCTCCCCACTGCTTTTATTGTCAGTGTGTTTTGAGTCAGCAGGTTTTCTGTTTTTTTAAGTACAGGGAGACACATTGAAATTATTGTTCATGGCAATCAGCTGTGCGTTATTGATGTGACAAATGGAGATTAGGTTGAAAAATGTTGGAGTATCCTTTAATACATGGTTAATTCAATTTCCCTCATTAATTTCATGCTCTCTCTGTGTCTGTCTCTCTCTTACTCACTCATTCACAGGGCACTCCTGGCCTCGGCTCACCAATCCCAGCCTCTCCCTCAGACTCTCAGTGTGATGGAAAGCACTCCGCAAGTCCGAGGTCTCCATACCATCATCAGGTCAGTACCAGTCTACTGAGTCACACATACAGTCGTATGCAAAAGTTTGAACACTCCCAGATCAAATTACATGTTTTTTTGATTTTCTAAGTGAAAATAAGTTGACACATCTTACACATAAAGATTTTTTGCATTTTCTGCAAATTGTAGTGCACAATTTCTGTTTATTTGCTGAGTTAAAAATTTTGGAAAATAAATCAAACATACGACTAACATAGAAATATTTTTTTTCAAAATTATGTCAGAATCCAGCAAATAAACATAACTGACCATTAAAATGTGCGAAACTGTGTTCTCTATAGAGGATGTGTACTCTTTTTCATTTAGAAAATCGAAACAGGGCACCCAAACCTTTGCTGTTTCTGGTGTTAAAGGGGAAGTCCACTGATTTTTCAAAATATCTGCAAAATTCAATCATCAAGATATGAACAAATTCATTCAGATTGGTTTGATGCGAAATGGTCAACTGTAGAGAAACTTATGACCTGATTTTCATTACAGTGAAGGTGATAGAAATCAGGGGTTGTGATGTCTGCAACACAAATATGCTCATTTTATTTGCTATCCAAAACCACCAGTGAACCAACTCATCTTCTGATTTTTTATATGTATTGTTGATAATGTTAAAATATAGTACATCTAAATCATTTTTTGGGTGGGGGGGACTATTCTGCACGTACCTTTCCACGATGAATGTGCTTTAATATGTTTTATGGCAAAATATTGTTTCCATCCATCAATAACAAAATATTAGCTCCAACCATTGTAACACAATGTCTTAGACTATTGTGTAGCAAATTTGTAGCCATTTCATTTATAACTTTTGAGAGGAAGCTTTAAGAGGCATTAAACGTTTCAGACATCTGGTTCCTATCACCTCTGCTATGAACAATACTCCATGATATGTATCTCTAGTACGGTGCATTTCACATGAATCTCTGATTGACATTTTTTACATTGTAACAATTTAATTTTGCTGAAATTATAAAAAAAATGGTGGAATTCTCTTTTAACTGTTCAAGCTGTCTTGAACTGACCACTGTAGCAGTCTCACATTTTTTAAGTCTGTGAATCTTAAACTGGTACTAATATCTTTTATCACCCATGTTCTATTATATTTAACTTTCTCATCCTCAATTTGTAGGAATAAAGACACCAGTCGGGACGAGTTTATCTTCTATTCAAAGAGACTGATGCGATTACTGATTGAACACGCTTTGTCATTCTTGCCTTCTAAGGTGAGTTTGTGTGTATGTGTATACTGATGTTCACAAACTCGAGTAGCTCACAGACTCGGAATCCCTTTGGCAAACGTTGCTGGTGCTTGTGAGATCAAAGTCATCTCTGCTGTACATAATACTAATTATAGCTTTGTATTCTCCTGCTGTATCTCCTCTTCACTCTTTTGCTGACCTGGTTTCATTAATTTTTCATACTCTAATTAATATACCATACAGCTCTTTACCATTTGCTGTAGAGTGTATGTATGCATGTAATGACAAGAATGCACAATGGTTCTTTTCACTACAGAAGAGTGTGGTGCAGACTCCGCAAGGTCATGAGTATGAAGGACGCACTTTCAGTGGGAAAGGGGTAAGAGCAGGTGTGAAGGTGTTTGTGTGTATGTTGGCCTCTTAGGGCTTTTTCACACTTGAGTTTTTCTTTTTTTGATTCAAGACTGTTTCCACTCAGAGGTCAGTATGTTTGGTCAAGTGTTAAACCTGTTTTTGACTCTACACTCTTTAAAAAGTTGGTTCTTCAAGGGTTCTTTAGTAAAGACAGTGGTTCTATATAGAACCGTGAACATTCAAAGAACCATTTGCATGCTTAAGTGGTTCTTTGCATGGTGAAATTGTTTTTCAGATTGATGGAGAATTTGTTGTATATGGTTCTGTAGAGAACCTTTTTGAAAATGGTTCTATGTAGCACCAAAAAGAGTTCTGCTAATGTTATAATGTCAGCCTTGTAACTATAGAAGAACACTACATTCTACGGTACCAGGTCACAAAAGTGGCACAAATCCAATTCTTTGGATTTTGGATGCAAATCTGATCTGAGCTGCTTTCATGTGTGGTCCGAGGTCATAAGTATCCGATTTGTGGCCATATGACCCTAATGAGAACAGTCAGAATGGAATGTGTTTTTTTGGAATGTGTTTTTTTTCACTGTGCATGCACTATCATTCAGTGTTAATGTGGCAGCAGCACCTAACCTGAAGTTAGTGCCAGTAAACGCTACGAGAGCATCTAACTCTTTGTCGCTTATGTCTTGCTCTATTAATGAACTGCTTGTGACACAGGTGGTTCATTCATGTGACGTTATTAAATGGGATGTGTGCATGTGGACCATTTCAGGACATAGGTTCATTTACATTAATGACATATTTGCGTCACTCACCTACATGAATGTGAACCATCAAGTTGAAAGATCGGATCTGAGCAAAAAAATTCTGAATTGAGCAATGAGGACTGAATTGTGAACATAGCATTACATATATCGGCCTTGAAGGCATAGGAACAAAATCTTAAATCCAAGGGATAAAGAGAGGTTGGAAAACAATGTATGACATACAGTTTAAGTCATAGGGTTACATACACTTAGGTTGTCATTAAAGTCATTAAAACTCATATTTATTCTCTCCACAGTTTTTTAGGATAACAACTTTGTACATGACACAATCATTTTGTCCTACAAATGTTTAGAAACTTGGCACATCCTTGGGAGTAATTACCACACACAAACAATAATATGCAAGTTTAAACACCTTGGGACCACGCAGCCATCACACAGCTCAGGTAGGAGACATGTTCTGTTTCTCAGAGATGAATGTACTTTGGTCTAAAAAATACAAATCAACCCAAGAACATCAGCAAACGACCTTGTGAAGATGCTGGAGGAAACAGGTACAAAGTATCTATATCAACAGTAAAATGTGTCCTATATCGACATGACCTGAAAGCCGCTCAGCAAGAAGAAAGCCACTGCTCCAAAACAGCCATAAAAAGCCAGGTTACAGTTTCGTCTGATAAAACAAAAATGTAACTGTTTGTCCATAATAACAATTCAAGCCAAACAACACCATTCCAACTGTGATCATGGGGGTGGCAGCATCATGTTGTGGAGGTGCTTTGCTGCAGGATGGACTGATGCACTTCACAAAATAGATATCATTATGAGGAAGGATTATGTGGAGATATTGAAGCAAGACAAGACTGAGGCAATGTCTAGAGATCAGCCAGGAAGTTAAAGCTTGGGCGCAAATGGGTCTTCCAAATGGACAGTGACCCCAAGCATACATCCAAAGTTGTGGCAAAATGGCTTAAGGACAACAAAGTGAAGCTAATGGAGTGGCCCATCTCAGTCCCATTGAAGATTTATAGGCAGAACTGAAAAAGCGTGGGCAAGCAAGGTGGCCTACAAACCTGACTCAGTTACACCAGTTCACAATTTAAAGGCAATACTCCCAAATACTAACAATGTGTATGTAAACTTCTGAGCCTCTGGGAATGTGATGAAGGAAATAAAAGCTGAAATAAATCATTGTCTCTAGTATTTTTCTGACTTTTCACATTCTAAAATACAGTAGTGATACTACCTGACCTGAGAGAGAGGGAATGTTTAAAAACTGGGTTTAAATGAATGTGGCTAAGGTGTATGAAAAATCATGATTTCAGCTATATATAAAAAAAGTAAAAATGCCATAACTGGACTGGGGTAAAATACAAGAAATATTAGAGGATATGGGCCCTTTAAGCACAGTTTATCCCATTGTTACATTTAAAAGACAAAATTATTGTTTTCCTATAATTTTTAATCGATATGAATTGGCTGCAGGCCTCAATAACATCTGCTATTTTTGTTTTGGAAAATAAATAATAAAAGCCAATGATATAATTTTTCATCTCCCCCTGCCACCACCCCCACCTAGCATCAAGCAAAAATTCTCAGCTACTGTAGAGACCCTCCCTGATATTGTGTTTCACTTTGAAATATGTCATGGTGTGGAAGGAAAATGCATTGTGATTTCTGATTCACATTGATTTTAAGATGTGTTGTTCACAGGTGCTCTTGCATGATAGAAGTGCTCTATATCATGTCTGAGTGTTGGTAAGTGACATATAGATTTGCGCATCACTCAGTAGTTCTGAAGGAATTCACCGGTGAGAAAACGAACCTGCAAACAAACCCAGAATCGATTCTGAGTGTATTCAGGACAAGTGTGAAAATGCCCTTAGTATTCCCTCTTTCATTCATTTTCCTCTGTTCTGTCTCTCTCTCCCTCTCTCTCCCTCAGTTCTCACAGCTGTTTCTTTCTTTCAGAGTCCTGAGGCCAGTGTCTGTATGTCCCTGTATGTCCCAGACAATGCCTGTCTGTTTTTCTGAGAACAATGGAGTTTCCTCCTCTCATGCAGAGCTTTGAGCTGTGTGTGTCTATGTGTTTCTGTCTGTCAGATCACAGGTGTGTCTGTCCTGCGGGCAGGTGAGACTATGGAGCCCGCTCTGAGAGCAGTGTGCAAAGACGTTCGCATTGGCAAGATACTCATCCAGACCAACCTGGACTCAGGAGAGCCAGAGGTACTGCAGGCACTAGTGCCCCTGAACTGCTACATTAGCAATAACCCCCCTGTACATATTCTGGATGGAGAATTGTTTTGGAGTTGTTCGGGATCAACTTTGTACATGACACAAACAGTTTTTCCAACAAATGTTTACAAGCAAATGTTTACAGTTTCACTCATAATTCACTATATCTAAATTCCAGTGGGTCAGAAATGTACATACACCAAGTTGACTACACCTTTAAATAGCTTGGAAAATTCCAGAAAAGGATTTCCTGGCTTTAGAAGCTTCTCATAGGATAATTGACATCATTTGAGTTAATTGACGGTGTACAGTCGCAGTATTTTAAGGCCAACCTTCAAGGCCTACTTGCCTTTTTGCTTGACGTCATTGGAAAATTAGCCAAGACAGACATGTGAGACTATGGAGCCCGCTCTGAGAGCAGTATGCAAGGACATTCGATTAGTCGTCCAGACCAACCTGGACTCAGGAAAGGTAGTGGTACTGCAGGCACCAGTGCCCCTGAACTTCTACCTTAGCAATAACCACTCCTGTACACACTCTGAATGGAAATAGAAGGGAAATTCCACCAATCTTTCAAAATTTCAGCATAATTGAATGGAAATGATGTAAACAAAGCCATTGAGAGTGGTTTGATGTGAAATGCGCTGTCCTAAAGAAACTTGTAGAGTCCAAATTCTTCACAGTGGTGGCGTGGTGGTCTACGAATATTACAAATATGTTGTTTTATGCCTGACACATTGATTTATGATAGAGATTTTTGGCCTAAAATGTGTTTTTTAAAAAGCATTCATGGTGGAGGGGTACTGTACTGTAGGGTAAAATTGTCCCCAAAGAAAACTTTTTTCAGATTAACCACTATTTTACTTAAACTCAAGTAAGTGGGTGTACACTTCAGTTCCTAACTCGCATATCTTACATCTTAGTTTCATAGTAGTTACTGAATAATACATCTCATGATAACTGAATAATACATTTGGAGTTCAAGGGGGTAAAACTCTTCATTTTTGTTGACAGTATTAGTAATGAACATCTTGCGAAGGTCACTTTTGCTTGATGTCTAGATTTACTTCTTGCATGTGTTGTGACAGATTGGCCCTTGGGTTCACAAACAGTAAATTAGATTCCTTTTTTTAGCTTTGTATTAGCATTTGCCTGCTGAGCTCTTCGTTTAATATCAGGATTGTGAGCCCTACTAGGTCAAAGTAAAAATGATGGAAAAGTTAAGATATCACCATTTTTTGTAGATTTCTCTTCACCCCTCACACCTCCCCTGTCCTCTTTGTCTGTCGGCATGACTTGATCTCCATGGCAACAGGAGCCTCCTGACTCCTCAGTTTGTGTTCTTTTTGGTGACTGCGGCTCGCCTCTTCCTCACTTTGTTTCCTTGGTAACGGCATCTTTATGTCCTCCTCTTCCACCTTTTCCTCTGGCTTCCTCGGCCCGTCTCCTCCATTCAGCTGCACTACCTGCGGCTGCCCAAAGACATCAGTGAGGACCACGTGATTCTGATGGACAGCACTGTGTCCACAGGAGCAGCGGCCATGATGGCTATCCGAGTGCTGTTGGTATGTAGAGTGACCAGCAGTCCTGGTCAGTAAAACGATTACAGGAAATAGTCCCAGGACTGGCTGGGTATACCTGGTTGTACTCTTTGGCAAAGCACTTAACCCCCCCACTGCCCCAGGTGGCACTGCTCTGCTAATGATTCCATCAATGGAAAGAGCCCCCCACATATTATTTGGGTGTTGGACCATTGAGTGTTGTGCTGGAATGAGTGTTTCAGGGACAACACAATGCTGGCTTTTTCAAAAACACTCCATCACATATTGGCCACTTTAATAGAAACACCTACTCTATATCTTGTAGGCTAAGAGATAAAATACTACATCTTGTCTTTTTTCATGCACAGGTCGTGATAGTCATCCTCTAGACCTTGACCAGTGGTCAGCTGCAAGACAGCTGTTGGCTGGATATTTTTGTTGTCAGATTGGGCTCAACTGAGCAGTGACAGTGTGGAAAAAACCCCAGAATTTCTGCTGTGCCTCATAAAGCTTGTATCAGCACTGCCATGTTGGTGTCACTGCTGTTATGAGAATACTTCACAACCCAAATAGTGTCTGGACAGTGGTGCTCCTATGGTGGTCCCTTTTCATTGATAAATTGGTTAAGTGTGGGTCTGATAAATTGTGCAACAGATGAGCTGTAGCCAGTAACTGTATACCTACAAAGTGCATATATGTGTTAGGTGTACTTTATAAAGTGGCCAGTGAGTGTAGCTGCAAGGTAGATTTATCCAATAGCTAGAAACACAGTGTAGTCTATTATTGTGCTTACCATGCTCCTTGATTTGTTTCTGCAGGATCACGATGTTCAAGAGGAGAATATCCTCTTAGTGTCTCTGCTGATGGCTGAGCTGGGGGTCCACTCTGTGGCCTATGCTTTCCCTCGCGTCAAAATTATCACCACTGCGGTGGACAAGAGTCTGGACGACTTCCTCCACGTCATTCCAGGGATAGGTGGGTCATACGTTTCAGGGCCATATGAATGTACGAGCAGAGGCATGTTGCAAAATGTGCCTTGATGCAACTGCAATATGTGACCACAATGGGTCTGAATTTAAAGTTCAGTTTACTATCATGCAAACTGTGCAAAGCCCCGCCCACTAATTGCTCACTTGTGAAGTGCAGAGATTAAAGGCACAGTTAAATAATGGAGCCTTTACAAGCTCAAGACAAAACAGAAAATGAAAGTTTACTAATAGTAGTGTTTATAAATAAAAAATCTCACCATAGCATTCTATAGAGGTGTTATTTTAACAAAACAGAATTTGAGTAACAGTAACATAAAACTGCATGCTCAAACTGCATCTGCTTTAGTGTATATTTTGCACCACAATTCATACCGACATCGGGTCCTGAGAGTTTAAACAGTGTTCTAATGTGAAACATTCTTTCAGCATGTAGGCTCGTGCTTCTGTCTAATCTAATCTACTATTGTTAAAGAAACTCTCTCAACAACACATCATTTTAGACCCTAATGCTGCTAAAAGGCAGAGGAAAATCAATGCAAAACCTGCCAATTTGTCTACACTTCAGTAAATTGAGCAGTAATCTGCCATATGTGTAATATCTCCCCCTACTATTTGTGCAGTCTCACGTTTTGAGTCCCTGGCCTCAATTACATGCATGGGGAAGAGAATAATCTTGCATTTTACCACAAACAGCCCATAAACTGCTTGTTTAGGCTTGTGCACCTTTTTCGTACGTAACACGAGTAGAATGCGTCCAACTTGCATCTAAAACTGGGGCAAAAGGCTTAGAACATCGGGCCCTCTGTCATTTCCCTTTGCTCCAATCACAGTAACATTACACTCACTTTCCTATCCTCCTGTAAGCGCACTGCATGATTGTAGAGGATGATTACCCACTTGATCCTTTGTAATTGACTCTGCAGTATAATGCATACAAATTCTCTTGTAATGATATTCAGTAACAATTTCTAATTGAACTGGTACGTTAAACTGAATTGTGTCTGCTCTGCCAAACAGTAGATTGAAACAGTACAAAGTGAGTTGTATTAAATATGTGTGCAAGTGTGTGTTTTCTGTCTCTAATAGGGGACTTTGGAGATCGCTACTTTGGAACAGATGCCCCTTCGACATGGAGTGATGAAGAGGACCAAGAGCTGCCCAGCTGCTGATGTACAGCTGTGTTTGTACAGTTACAAGGACTGGACACTTTGTCATTATTCCAGATTCATTTTAACTATTTCCCTAATACATTTCCTGTTAATTGACAAGGATAGTTTGGCTAATATGACTGATTTAGGATTCAGCCAGCCAGAATGGGACTGGGTGCTGGTATAGTGAGAGTGAGTGAGAATGGCCCTGTAGTTTAAGTCCTGAAGACCGTCCTGAGGTGTTTAAGCATTGTTTTTGGACAAAACCTGTGGATGTCTCTTACTCGAACTGTGGGTGCCATTAGCAAACATTCCAAGCAGACACTAAAGCAATAGTTGCACAATCTTCCACATGGATTATTTTCTGAGTAATGAAACATAATACCTCAACAGTAATTAACACAGTAATGTACTTTTTGTCAAGAAACAAAGGAGGTAGCGTAAATTTTTCAAGACAGTAACTAAGACTTAACCTCATGGAAAGATGTACTTGTGTTTTTTAACCTGTCTTAGTTTGTTTTTAGTAAAATGTCAGGAACTATTTATCTGTTTAGTTGTTGAATATCTTAATCTTAAGACAAATCTAAATGCAGTTTAAGAGGAACCATTTTTTTTTCAAAATTACTGCATAATTTGGTTGTTGAGATGTAAACAGAGTGGTTTCATGTGAAACGGTGCATCATAGAGAAACTTACTGACTCTGATTTCTTTATAGTGGCATTGATAGGAAACAGGTTGCAATGTCTACAGTGCAAACATAGACATTTTATTTAAATGACCAGTGAACCTACACGTGTAATGTTGATAATGTAAAATGTTTGAATACCCTCTGTCAAGTGAAAATAAGTTATCCTTTAGAGGAAACACGCTTAAATGTGGCATTATTCTGGAAATTTACTGCACAATTTGTATTTATTTGCTGAGTTTAAATTTCTGGGAAAACATAAAACATAAAATGCACTGTTGTACAGGCCACATTTTATTTTTTTTATTTTTTTTCCCAATATGTTAAACTCAGTAAAATAAGCAGTAATTAAAATGTTAAAATGTACAAAAGTACATGTAATTTGACCTGGGGCTTTTGCATATCACACTGTATTTTACCTTGCAACACCCTGCATGTACCTCTCCACCATTAATATGTTTTAAAAAATATGTTGCAGACCAAAACCTTATTGCAAAAGTATCATAATACAATGTTTCACACATTAGGCAACATATTGTTAACTATATAATGTAACCGCTTTTAGTGAGGGAGCTTGTAGAGGCATTAAGCACTTTGCATGTCTGTCATCATTGCTGTGGACAATTGTGGCTTGGTAAGGTTCCCTAAAATGCCACGTTTCACATTAATCCAGTCTGAATGACTGTTTACATCTTAACGATTTAATTATGCAAAATTGAAAAAAAAAAAATTGTGGAATTGCCCTTCAACCTTCTTTCTGTGTCTGTCACAGACACAAATACATGAAGCATTCAGTAGACTGAATACTGACTTTAACATTGTAACTGGGTGTATTTACAATCTTAATATGTCAACCTGTCTCCCCTCAGGAGAAAGTGGAGCACATTGATCATTCCCCACACTGTTTGATAGAGCATTTGAGGGCTTCTGTTAAAGCCTAGTTTAAGGATACTCGCCACCAGGTGGCAGTATATCTCTCTCACTGTTTAAGGCAGCTACTGTGGCAGTTACCAAGGAGCTGTGGAATAAACTGAAAGAGAGAGCTGTAGAGTTGTAAAGCCCAGTTGAGGGTTGATGTGTAAAGTTTATGAGGAAAGTATTCTGTGCAGAATGGTGAAGTAATATAAGCTATTTTTGCAATCTATAGCAATGAGCAATCAAAGGCAGGCCTTGAGTCAAACCTCACACATCACATATTAATGATGCAGCCAGGGCAAGAGAATAATTTCTTTAGGAATTCATGCTGTGATTGGCTTACAGTTCTTAACAGGCATTCAGCTCAAGGACCCACAATCACAGTCAGTCCTAAATGAAAAGAAGCATGTTCCAGTGAAAAGTTAGGTTTGAAAGTATCAAGCTCTGAAAAGAGAGGTTGCATATAGACATAGAGGTAGGAAAAAAAAGGTGGAGAGAAAGGGAGTGAGAATGAGAGTCAAGATAAAAGTGAAGCAGCAGGATGCCGTTTCAACTCAGCAGGAAATCTGTCCTCATTGGCTCTGATGGCTACAACAAAAAATAAACACCTACCAGCAGCCAAATTCTCCTAGTAACACAGTCGTACTTGGAAAAGAGTCTGTTTGACAACTCGTGCTGTCTTTACTTGGCAAAGCACAAATCTGTTGGTCTTAACACCAGAACATGATTGCTCAGCAAGGCATTAATTAAGCTGTGACTCAAATGTGTGAAGTCAGTACAGCAAACAAGGTCTAAGTGGCATAGATGGGATGATCATGGTTTTAAAAAATCTGGCTGATTAGCAATGACTGATATGCCTAAGCTGTGTCCAAAACTGTGCCCTATTCACTGTATGGGGCACTATATCAGGGTTCAGTGCACTTAAACAATCCCGCAATGCACTGTAGTAGGCAGTTTACGCTCAACATACCTTAGAGGATAGAAGATACCCATAATGCACTGTGTTGTTTGGTTTGAAAATTCACATGCATCTTCTCCAAGTAGGATTTTGAAGCCCAGTTACAATGGCAGCATCTCCACAGACCTCTCTTCAAACCTGTTATAATTGTAAGCTCTTCTCATGAGCGCACTTAAACTCAGAGGTTATGTCGGAATAGAGATGGAACGATCAATCAGCTATGTATCGGTATCAGCCGATTTACAGCTCAAGTATGTGATCGGCAGTGGGCCGATATTTTTCTAACTTAGCTGATCCTGAGAGCTGATTAGTGATGTACAACAAGTGAGCCAGATTTAAGGATAGCTGCAGCCCTGCACAAGGCTCCCTGTTCACAAGAGCCTGCAGTTCCTTGTTCAAATGCTAGAGGGAAATACAGACCTTTTGACGACAGGACTAAGGCCTATTTACACAAAGTCTGATTTTTACAGACAAAAAAATGCATGTTAAGTTTTGAAAATGAATACACATACAGTAAGTATCAGCCAGTATCAGTATCAGCCCCAAAAACAGTTATCAGTCCATCTCTATGTTGGACTGTTGGCCTGACAGTTATGTTGTTTATGTGACAGAACATGCTGTCACACAATATTGAACAAACCTGTATGACGTAGTGTCCAAAATCATTCACTACCATGATGAATTCTGTTCCCTGTAATAATGTTCTATGTAGTGATCTAGATTTTCTAATGTAGGGTATAGTGATTAGGGGAACATTTCGGACATAGCATAAAACTTTTTTATATCCTTTTTATATCAAAAATTCAATATTTACTCAAAAATGACATGTTGATTCTAAATAGCACATTATTACAACTTATAGTTATTACAAACATTTGGGTTAGTTCTTCCATTTAAAAATAAAACTATATTTTTACATGTAAGATTCGAAATTGGTAGAGTTCAGATTTTCAGTAAAAATTCAGTTGGAACATGTAATAGCTAGAAAAAAAAATGAGCATTTGTTAAAATCTTTCATACTAATGAAAATTGTGCCTACCATTAAGTCAAATGGAAAAGACATGAAATCTAACTAGTGCAAACTGAAGTTTTTTAAGCTAAAACAGAATTCCTACTGGGGTGGACAATATGGCAAAAATATAACATCACTACAACATTGTCATGATACACAGTATGCATCACAGTATTTAGTTTAACTGATTTTGTAAGTTTGGTAAGTTTGACAAAGAGCCTGTAGTGCCACATTTAAAAACCTCAAAAACTGAGGACAATGACTTTTATTCAGTGTTTGCCAAACACTAAATCTGCACTAGATCTGTAAGTACTGACGAAATCCACGACATACACAGAAAAGCATTTTGTGACATATTTTATCAGAATCATGATAAAGTATCATCATATTACCCACCCATAATTCATGCTAGTAAAAGTTTAATTTTATTTTTTGCATGATTTATTTAGTATTAGTAACATTTTTACTTGTTCAAATTTCATTTCTGATGTCAAGAAATTTTGGAATGTAAAAGCTAAAACAGCACAGGGATGTGATCATGTGATCGATTAGTAATGACTGATACGGGTAAACAGGTGTTGGTCATGACCAGTCCCACTCTCACATACACTCTTACAAAAGATGGTCCTTAAAGGGGTCTTTATTTAGAACCATTGTATGGTTCTGTACCGATTTTTTTTTGAAAATGCTATTAAGACTTTAACAATGGAAGAACTCTTTTTGGTGCTATATAGAACCACATTCAAAAAACGTTCTATACAAAACCATACGCAGAGCATTTAAGCATGCAAATAGTTCTACGTTGAATTCATGGTTCTAATTAGAACCATTACCAAAGAACCCATGAAAAACCATCTTTTTAAAGAGAGCAAACTAAGCCTACCACAAACATCAGAGGGTTGTGTATATAGGGCATAAAGGACTGTTCAAAATCTGCACACACTGTACTTCAGTGTCGTGGAACAGCCTGCCGGATTAAACATGCAGAGGCAGTAGTGGCGGTGTTGTAAACGGCTCTCCTCAGAGGAGGTCAACTCTGTTCAGGAACAACCGTGAACGTGAACGTGTCCGTGTCGTAAGACGACCCGGCTAACCCAGTGCATCGTTAATGTTCAGGCTAACCCGCTGTAGCATTAATGTTTAAGGAGAGCTGCCCATTCCAGACTGGCCCTCCGCCGCCGCCGCCGCGGCGCTTGACATCTCTCTTCGCTGGCGGAGCTCTCATGCATGCTGGATTCTCCTAGACAACAAACTGGTCTGTGACTGCAGCCTCAAGGTTAACCTGTTACTATGGAGACACGGCAGCCAATAAAAAATCAGAAGACGGTTGCTATGTTGACTGCTCGCATTTTGTTTTAAGGATGACCTATTTTTTTTTTCCAGAGCTAGTCAGACACAGGCCTGCAACGCTCATTTGATCAGAGGTGAACAAATAAACATACACACGTACAGTATTTCACAGCATTAAGGCTAGGGAGGTTAATGGGGAAAATGAGGAGGTTCTTCGCGTAGCTCGTTGGTTCAGTAGGACTTCTCGTGCAATAAAAATGAAAGGATATTTAGTCTCGGTTTAGGGGGAGGAATCAAAAACACCATACCATGAAAAAGCTGCTGTTGTCATGGGAACCGCGTGTAAAGTGAAGGCGATGCGTCTGCTTTCTTCAATGGCTAATTAGTGTAAACAAAGATCTCTAATCAAATCCCCCATCTACCTGAGACTTAACAAATCAAAGCTGGTGTAGTTTAGACAGAGACTAATCAAATCCAGACTGAAGGCAAATTCTGAGCTCTCTTCGAGTCCTCCAACCTCATGCCTGCATGCACAAAAACGTCAAACAGAATTCAAGTTGAAGACTGAATTTACATCTGGCTCTCATGTTACGCAGGCACTGTGGAGACTGTTCTCCTGTGGAAAAGCTTCGTTTCCGTATTGTCAGGACCAAAAAGATATGTTTTGATGTCTGGCTATTTTACAATGTAAGCCATGGAGGTTTGTGGCTAGACTGTGTACCCTTTGGTCACTAATGTTGCTTCACATGCTTGTGGAAAGAAAAACACAATTTCTTGAGCAAACAAACAAGCAACACAATATGAATGCATCTAAACAGAATCCAGCATGTGAATGCAATCCAGGTATTTTTTAGGTGCTACTTTATTACAAAAGTATAAACTTGACCCCACATTTTTATGAATAGTAATTTTGTTATAAAAACATTACAATCTTTGCACATGAGTACTTACACGGCTTGAATACACACCACCCTGTTGTCTGATAAGCAAACGCACAACATCAGCTGCCACACTAATACTGGGTTGATCTTGGAAATACACATTACAGCTGAAATGGCAAGGGGGAAAAAAAAGAAAACGAAAAACTCCACACACGTAAAAAAAAATAATAATCTCAAAACACACAGAGATACTGCTGAGCAAAGTTTTCACCAGAGAAAAAAAAATCATTCCAAAAGAACAACCCAAAAAACATATACTCTCCAGAACATCTAGGGCAACTTCATCTTATTCACTCCTTTTTCTTTTTTTCATTTCTTTGTAACATATTTACAACATTGCGCCAACATATATGACAGTAATCATGTGCTGTACTCATAGACTCCATTTTTCTCTGTGTGGTCAGGCCACTTAGGCTAGTTTAGTCAATTTTACATCCCATTGTCAGGGAAGAACTCTTTTTTTCTCTCTTCACAGATAGTGACATTGTCCATTTTTTGTGCCATTGCAGGTGGACATATGTTAAATGTAAAAATCACTGTAGGGCACCATACACTGGTTACTGAACCACTGTTTCAATAATATTTAATGACCTTAGCTTCCAATTCAGTTAGTATAGTGGTACCTTTACCGTTTAATGTGTTGTAGCACAGCTGGGTGACATTTGAGTCCACCTGTAACATACGTTCACTTACAAAGTGAGCGGGCCAAACTTCCTGGCTGGTCCTGGCAGAAAGGAGGAGGATTGTCTACGATATGTTTACTACGACCAGTAACTTTCTGCTTCCGTTTATCCAAAAGTCTGTAAGATAGAGTTCTCCTCACGCAGTCATCCTGATAGCAGGCTCTCCGGTCCCCAAGCAAAACAACACTGTGCTCTTTCTTTGATGGAGGAAAAGGCATTTTAAATCAAATAAGCAACCGACGACAGCAAGAAATAAACCATTCTCAGATACCACATAACAGTGCTTCTTTTTTCTTTTCTTTTTTTTCCTTTTTAAGTTTTTTTTTCTTCTTGAAAGCATGCATCATTTTGTCAGGCAAAGTGCATTAACAGTATTGACAAAGTAAAACACTTACTGTACTGTACTATATGGCAGTGGTGACTCATACACAGCCAGTTTGGTGTTCATGTTATGAGCTTAAAAATGAAAAAAGGAAAGACCATGAAAACACAAAATAACACCCCATTTTGAATGGGCACATCAGGGTCCAACGCCGAACACTTTAGTTTCAACAGTACATGTACTAATTCAATTACCTTTCAATTTTTCACTGTCCCTGAGCTTCTGCTAATTCTCTTAATGGTCTCTCTGTAATTGCTACTGTAATTATCATATAATTACTTTTTAGTTCACAATTCAAATCACCTTTCCGTCACACAAGGGGTCTATAACGGATTAAGTGCTAAAAGTGTAAATTCGCAGTATATGCTTCTGTGCTTCTGAATAAAATAGGGCATCATTTTTATAGCGATATAATACTGCACTTGTGTAATTCAATGAATGAGGATACTCCTTTTATATCCACTTTAATATCTCCCCATATAATTTCTTTACAGAAATAGAGGCTTTATCATTACAAAAATAGTGCCACATATTTTTCTAAAGCTTTAGGATAAAGCTGTACTCTAAAACTGGATCAGGTTCCCTATAAACAATTTAGATAAAGGCTTTTGTTCATTGTCAATCGACGATAAAAGGTTTGACGACAGCTCTCCCGGTTAGACTTACTTTACAGCTTATCTTCTGCAAATGCATCGTCACCAAAATAAGGGCGTTTCTTACTTCATCGTTTTTCTCTGTGGGTATACTCTGCTGTTTCAGTACAAATGCTCTGTGCCTTTTTAGACATGACTCCTCTTACCAGAGTTGTGCTCATTTCTTCCTCTCTCCTTTGGAAATTTCTAGAGGTTACATTAAAGTTTGACCCGCAATTCCGATGGTCACCCAAATGAAAACTAATGGGCAAGTGAGTGTGCAGCCAAAAACAAGAATTCCTAACTGGGAATCCCCCGTCTAATACAGTTGCCTGTGCGATATATGTTAAAGTGATATGCTGGAGTTGGTGATTGGTGAATGATTCTGTTGCTTTTCTTAGCAACGACATGTAGCTGATTGAAATAACTGAGCTACTTAGGTATTTTCCCTACGGATTTATCATTGTTTTTCCACCAAGCTTTCAAAACTCAATCAACAGACAATACATACTGGTACTTCATGTTAGATATACAGTGGTAGTGCAATGCATGTATACCAGGTGATGTACAACACAACAGCTTTTCCTTTCAAGACTTGAGCCCATTATCTTCCATAAGAAAAGTCCCCTTCCCAGACTGCTTCAGTAAGGCAATGAGTGGGGCTACTTGGGAACTGAAATGTAAACAAGATGTGTGAATGAGTGCAAGAGGAAAACCCCTTTAAGTCCAAGCGGTCACATCTTTTTCCCCTGCCCGGCTCCAGCAGGGGAAGTGCTGACGCATTTAAAGATCACTTAGCCCCCCCCTACAGGCCGGTGACGTACATTTCCATTCCGTCATTAAACGTGAAGATGGTGGTGGTGCTGGAGGTGGCTGAGCCCTGTTTTAGGTCAGGAATACTATCGTATAGATTCTCCCCGGGCAGCAGCAGGGCTTTGGCCGGCAAGTGCTGCAGCTTGGGCGTCTGCTGGGGGGGTGGAGGAGGGGGCGGCGGTTGCTGCAAGGGCTGCTGGGGCTTCTTTTTCTTGGGCCGCAGGGTGGCGCTGGCGTTGGGTGGTGGCCTGTCCCTCTTCCAGCCTCCCCCACCCTCCATGGCATCGTAGGCCAGCTCGCTCTCCTCCGTGCTGATGGCCTCGTAGCAGTGGTCCTCCATGGAACCAGGGGGCGCTCTTGAGCTTTTGCCCTCCTGCGGCGCCCATGTCTGTGGCTTGACCACCACATTAAAGCCCCCATCACGCTCCCCACGGTCACCGCGAGCCAAGGTCCGATACCCACTGATGTCTCTTGGGGCCGTGGGGGAGCCGGGCATGCCTCTCTTCTTCTTACCCGGTTTGCACACTTTTGAATACATTTCTGAGATCTAAAGCACAATACACTCTATTGGTTAACAATAATTTGCATTCATCCTGCTATTTCTCTAGTTCATCAGTGTTTATCTAACAATTATTTTTATACATTTTTATACATTTTTACAGCTTCACCTAATATATGTATGAGTACATATATTAATCAAATCACTAGATTCCGGTGTGCAGAACTGTGTATTGTAATATGCCATAAATAGCAAAGATTTAATTTTCTTCACTTTGTAAATACAGAGGGCCAAAGCTCCTCCAATGGCATCCAAAGTATATCTTCCCAGATATTAAGCCACAAATAAAACATTTTGAAAGAAAGACCTAAAAAAATCATACATCTACCATCTATACTTCAAAAGTAATGACTTTTCATAGTTTGTATCTTTTTTATAGCCCTCATTTTCAGGTATAAATTAAAGCTTCACCTATTTTTTACAGCCTCTATATCTCAGAATGAAGAAACAGGCCAAAAATATTGTAAACTGTCTATTAGGCAGAATAACATAATTTCCAGACAGTGTTAAAAAAAAACAGAGATGTTCGATCAGAAGGCCGATTTGTCAATTTCACAACTATTGACATGCATTTTGTGTAGTTCTTCTTGTCTTGTTTAGGGCTGCATGATGTTACCAGAACCATATCAATATTGACAAACATTTGTACATATACATCAAGTAAATCTAGTCCTAATTTCCACAGACATATCTGTGAAGAATAACAGATATAAGCATCAGTCCACAGCTTCCATATTGGTAAATCCCTAGATTTGCTGCTGTTACCTTTTAGTTTACTTTGCAATTAATAAAGTTTCTCTCGATCTATACTGTGGGTCAGTTTCCTGGATAGGGATTAGGCCTAGTCATGGATTATATTTTTCCAATCAATAGTAAATCTCCAATCAGAATCCTGCGAAGTCCAGGACTAGGTTTAATCCCTGTCCAGGAAACGGCCACTAAACATTCAAATGTTTGTAGACACCTGCTCATGCAATGTTTTCTCCTGTAATCAAGGGTATTAATAGGTCAGTTTGTCCCCCCTTTGCTGCAGTAACAGCCTCTACTGTTCTGTTTGGTTTGCTGTGAGGATTTGATTGCATGCAGCCACAAGAGCATTAGGTCTGGTACTGATGTTGTATATTCAGTTAGATTACAAGTGCCACTCTAACTCATCCCAAAGGTGCCCCACCACTCAGACCACAGTTATACTGGCCCACAGTCCAGTGCTGGGGCTTTATAACTTTCTAGCTGACACTTGGCATTGGGCTTGGTGACCTTCAGCTCATGAATGTACAGTCGGTCAGTAAGATCTATCCGTCTGTCTCTTTGTATATCTATCTATCTATCTGTCTGTCTGTCTGTTTGTCTGTCTGTCTGTCTGTCTGTCTGCAATGACAGTAAAACACAAATATCCATGCACAAGAGCACAAAACTGTGTGAACATTTATGACCTAAACATGATTGCTCCGACAGTGTCCACGTGCCCTTAGTTAGCTGAGTGAAAACTCTGACACTCCGAAACACATTTAATCTCTATGGATCTTTAAAGCTATTTTAAAGGGGAGAGAAGATCAAAATCAGAAGCACTCACGCACCCCAGCTGCAGATGCTGCCATGCTGTCTCCCATGTGAGGACTCAGAGGGCCTATGTGCTTGTGCTGGAACATGATGTCATCATCTTCTGGAGGCTTCCATATGTACTCCTCTCCGTTTCCAATAAACACTGCCTCCTGATTGACCGATACAGAGAACAAGCTGTCTAAACATGCTTTCATGCGGCTCCATAAATGTACAGTATGTTTCTGATTTCCATTAGCGTTGCCTCAAATGACATTTACATCAAAACAATGCAGTCATGCTCTCTAAAAGATCCCGATCAGTGCCTTTAAGGTCATCTTCCCAAATAAGGGTAAAGAGAATAAACAGGCAAGACAAGACTTCTAAGAGTGAAGCAATATGTGATGTGTATACATTTCAGGTAACGTACTAAATAGTATACAATAGTAACATGTAACATCTTGAATTGTTATAAACCAGTACTTTAATGTATGAATGATTTAGCTTTATAATTAGTATTTTTAGGAGGTGGCATATCAGTCTGAAGGTGGTGAATCAACTACTTTAATGTTCAAATCAACTATACTCAATTGTAATAATATTCAATATTATTAAGTATATTCAACATATATCCAGTAAATGTGCACTCTTTTTTGCCAAAATGAAATTCTCAGGCTATTAAACACAAAACCCCTCAAAGAATTCCCCCCAAAGCTGTATTAGTTCTCAACCGCAGCAAAATAATTGATTACAGTTGATCAGATGACGTCAGTTGTGTCATCACTTTGCAGTTAGCGCCATTCCCAAAAAGAGGAACTCCAGGTCCAAGCTTTTTCTCTCTACAGGGAAAAATGCATGGCAATCTCTAAAACCACTGCTATGCACACCCTGTGTTAAACAAAAATGCTTCAAGGCCGATACATTTTGTCCTGTGTACATTTTAACCCAAAACATCACTGGATATTATGGATTATGAGGTCGTTAAGGACTCAGAAATCGAATATGGTCTATTGTTTTGAAATCATGAAGCACTCAATACTTTCCAAACAAATCATATTCTTGCGAAGAATCCAGCAGTAAGGACGATAAAGGTTTTCCATCAGCATCAATGTCCATCAATGTCACCATCAGTCAGTATCAATCAACGCTTGAAAAAATAGTAAGGAAAGACATATTTAATAATTGTAAAGCTTACAGCAGTTTTTCTGAAAGAGAATCTAGTCTGGCCTTCTTCATTAAGGAGATATTTATCCATGAATTTCATATTTGCATGATTAGATGATTTGATGAATTGCTTGTCGAGTTTACGGCAGTGTAAAGTTTCCCCTACACCTGCACTGGTTATATTCACAAGTTATGCAGTCAGCTGTTGCAGGGAGCGCAGTCGTGCTTAAATTATTAAGACCAGCACGGATAATATATATAGAGGAAAATTACGTTTTTAAGTGCATTACGGGAAATTAATACTGTTTCTCCTAGAGAAATTCTTAAGAAGTGAGTAACTGTAATGTAATTACAGTATTTTTACTGTATATATTGTTCCTACTAGAGAAATTCCTAGTAAGTGAATAACTGTAATGTGACTACTGTATTTTTACTATATATATATTGTTTCTGCAAGAGAAATTCTTATTAAGTGAGTGTATTTTTACTGTATATATTGTTTCTACTCGAGAAATTCTTATTCAGTGAGTGAGTAATGTGATTACAGTATTTTTACTGCAATTCGTTACAAGAAAAATTAATTACGTTACTGTAACACATTACTTTGTATCATGTTCTCCAAAACACTCATCTGAACCCACAAGGTGATGCAAAATAATTCTTTTTCAGTCTGAAATGTTCTCCTGGTGTTGAGGACGTATACTGTGATGTGTAAAACCAGCAAACTATCACTTAAAAAACAAAAAAAAAACTTGAGTCATAATGTCAAAATGTCATTTTGCAGGGGTTAGCAGAAAGGCAATCCATTTCAGGAGTCATCTTCACGTCTCATAAAAACCAAGACAGGTGCAGATTTGTGTGTGTCTCTTTCACCCAAACAAGCAAAAAGCTCTCAACTATTGGAGATCAAGTGTCATGAAAGGACTCCAATGACAAATTAATTAAAATAGAATCAATTGCAATTTAAATTTTACTGGACCAGAAAGAAGTTCAACATAATGAATATTATTTTTTAAACTGTGGTGTCCTGTGAGTTTGCTGAGCATGTCCTCTAACGAAGCATTAAGGTCAGTATAATGCAGCCAGTTTTCGGACCGCTGATGGACTAGCTCATCTATAACCACTCAGTGGATCTAATGACATGAAGCTTAATGTGTTCCCCCCCACCTGGCAGTGGTGAGGGAACAATAGCCCTCTGCTTGCTATGCAGTTCCTGTCCATTCCCACGCAGGGAAAAGAGAAAGTGAGCACCAGGGCGTGCTTCTTTATTTATAAAGTTCATTTTCATGAGGACAATGCAGTGTGTTCTGCCAGATTTAGCTATACTGCTATTCCCTGTTTGCCATCTCTTACTGGTAAGCAATATAAAGACCTCAAATGTAAAAAACAACAAAAGAAGCTACAATAGAGCCTGACCATTTGAGGCAAATATTCATGTCACAGTGGCTTTTATCTACGACACATTTCCCTTGACTCCATACTGAATGCCTGTGTGCCGAGGACTTGCATTTGACTGATGGGTATGCAGGTATTTCACTCCGACTGCGAGTTTCGGATTGTTGCGTCATCCTGATGGCAGAGGGCTTCTGGGTATGCCTTAGTGGGAATGCTAAGTGGACAGAACTCTTGCTAGTGTCAGGAACTGGAATCGTTTTCTTGCAGAAGCACATAATTAGGGAGCATTTGTGTGACACACTTTATATCCCCTCTTCTCTTGTGCTACCCATTCAGAAGAATGGGCACTGCAGTCTTATGCATGCATAATGCAAGCCAAAGTAGTCTGTGATTCATATGCCGAGATTGAGTGCTGGGAATTAACTGTAATTTACATAATATTTTTGTATGTCGTTTATGGAGATCAACTTAAAAGCGGGCGTAAACATCAAACATCCTTTTTGCTTAATACTAGCTCATCTTCATCAGTATGAATACAGAGGCAGGCTGATATATTGCCTTTTAGGAATGGGACAGTTGCAGAAATAATGATGTACTGCATTATAAAACCCAGAGATAATCATACTGTGTACAATTTTTCAGCATTTTGATGACTGTGTACAATTACCATCTTTCTAAAAAATCACCATGGAAGTAAGCAGTCTATAGCTATAGTCTCCCTGCAAATCAGGGCCAGGACATGCATAGTTATTAATGGAAAAGTAAACAATATGGTTGTTAATATTTTAATTTTAAGTCAAAGGAAAAAACTAAGCAAAAACTGGATTTCAAAAAATGATTGAAAAATACAGAGAAAATGAGACTCCCAACCATGCAAGACCTGGTAGACCACCAAAACTGTCCCTATCAAATAAACAATACTAAAAGCTTTCATATTTGAGAGAGAAAATGTAGCTGTCAAAAAGCCTTTACTAATCTACCCTGCAAATTTCTTTGAAAAACAGAAAAGAGAGTCTTCTGAAAAGAATGGATGCTGTAATAAAGGTAAGCGTGGACACACTGGATACTAAAAAAATCAATGTTAGATTTAGTCGTTGAGGCTTCTGTGTAATTTTTTGTTAAATATGTTTTCTGCTTTTTTCTGAAACCAAAACTTAATAACTTGTACTTAATGGCCATCTTGACTGTAAATTAAATGAAAAATAAATAAATAAATAAAAAGGGTGGTCTCTTGCAGTTTTTTTGGTGTTATAAAGAAATAGAAGAGTATCTGTAAAAAGTTTACACATATTTCCTGTTTTGAAATTGTGTATTAGTGTATTGGTCCTTTTTAACATTTTCAGTATCACAAAAATAGTAAATGTCAAGGTCATTTTGGACATTGATATCATAATAGGACATTTTCACACTGTTCTGTCCCTAATGGCTTTCATTGCTCTTCCTCACCTACCTTAGGAAAGGATGGCAGGTTAAAGGCATCCATGTTCTTGCGTGGGATTTTCTGGCTGTGTGGGTGTGGTGGGGGCGGGGCTGGATGAGTGGGCGGAGCATGTCTGAGCTCTCCGCTGCTGTGCCGCTGTTGCCCAAGGCCCTCCTCCGTCTCCGTCCCGTTGTCCCTCTTCTGGGCCGCTTTGTCCACTTTGCGGACTTTCCTGATGCATGCGTACTCGGCCGTCTCCTGGGGCTGTGGGGGCGGGTTCACCACCTGGGGGAGGGTCTCTGGTTCTGGAATGGCGCCCTCTAGGCCGTCACTATCTGGGTCAGGTGGGGCCGGGGTGTTGGCGGGCACGGCAGGGGGGGCAGGCGTGTCTGTCTCCCCTGCTCTACCCCTCAAAGAGTCTTCGGGACAGCGGGTGGGGGAGGTGCGGCGGCCCACCTCTGCGTACGTGTGCTCCCCGTCTTCACCAGACGGGATCTGGGGCAGTTGGCGGCCCTGCGAGCGAAGGTCTGAGTTGGAGCGGCGGCTAGGCAGCAGGAGTAGGTCCATGCTGGCAGGACGGTTCTTCTTAGAAGATTCTGAGGAGAGGATACAGATTTACTACCCACAGATGCAACATTAAGGCATATATAAGGCGTATATCAAAAAAGGACAAAACATTGTGGGCTAAACTGCAGAGGCAAAGGCGGCACAGACGGCGCCAACCCTCACACAGCGAAACATCTATGGGTGGCCCTACTCCAGAAGAACGGAGAAAGTGATCGTATCCCGAAAGGAAACTTGTCCCATTCCCAGCATGCCCAGACTCTACATCCGAATTTGAGGCAGCTTGGCGACCTCAGTAACGCTATCAAGCAGTGCAAGAAGTGAATGTACATACTTTTGCCATTGCAGTTGAGTCTGTTCATCTCATGGAGCTTGGTGTCTGACTTACTGATGGAGCGCAGCTTGGACTGCCGCAATATACTCTAAAAACACAGAGAGCAATATCAGCACAACAAACTCATAGACACAGCATGTATCACACTATGCAGAATTCAGATATATGTACTACATGACTATAATGAAAAAGTAGAGAGCATTCTTACTGTAGGAAAAAGGATTATGTTCTAGTATGTTTGTTAAGCTATCAAAAAGATACTACAATGATGCAATTAGCCCATAACTGAGTTATAAGCACATATATATTTTTACATATTTTGCAGATTTTCAAAGCGGGTACATGAAAAGAAAGAACACTTCTGAGAACACTCTTAAAAATAAAGGTTCCTGAGTGGTTTTGGGTTCACTTCTAATAAAAACATTTCATTGCTATTAGGGATTACAAATTCTTTCGATAATCACAATACAAGGACACGACCCATCAAAATATTTATTATAAAACAGAATGTTTAAAATCTGATTGCCTGAGCCACATCTGAGGCCACTGTAAAATAACTGAAATACCCAAACTATGAGTGGTGGGGTCAGGCATAAGCGTGTTTATGAAGCAAACAGGAGAAACCATATTAAATTCACAGTGAAATATGTAAGAACCCTGTTTTGTTTAAACTGAGGGTCTGACAACTATAATATGTTTATGATTGTATGACCATAAACTAAAAAGCTGACAAAATGACTGGAATATACAATGTTGTGCTGCTGAAAGTTCTATATTTTAAAGTTCTAAAGTTATATTTATCTTTTATTACCAGCCCAAGTTAAAGTGTACATAAATGCCATAACCAAGGCTAGCTTTGTGTCAGTCTACCTCAGTAGATCTTGAAAGCCGTCGCCATCCACCTCAGCCTTCTGTATAATTTTGCACAGCCATGTGCGATTTCCTCAAACCGCCGAGAATATGGACAAATGATTTGTCTTTATCGTTTGCAGATGTTTTCTCTAGATATGCTACATCGCTGTAGTTACAGTACTCCTGAAAAGTGGTCATGAACACTGTGAACATGTTAATACTCCTCAATTTAAATGATAAACCCGCCTAACCAAATAGGAACTGTTGTTGGAAATAAATTAAATTAAATTAACGCTTATTTAACCGACAGCATTGGTCATTAAGCAGTTAATCATTCACATCCCAGTTGTTATAGAATAACAACTGTTATAGAATAAGCTTTAAAAATGTTCTCTACAATCATCTCATTTACAAAAATGGTTCTTTAAAGAACGATCCATTTAAAATTTTGGGAAACAGAAGTGGTTCTTCTATGGTATCAACCTAAAGAAGGGTTTTTTGTCACCTTTATTTTTAAGAATGTATATTAACAAAAATCTAAATGTTTTACTGTTTGCATTTGTCTAAATGCAAGCCTGCTTGACTTATTGCAGTGTCCAGACAGCATTTTTCTCTATCTAATGGCAAACAACACAAACTAACAAGCTTCATTACAACTTAAAGAACGAAAGAGACGGTCACCATGTCCATGAGTCTGTGCTTTCTCTCTTCACCAGAACCATTGTGACTCTTCCCCTTCCTGTTGAACACATAATGAGCACAAAACACACCGATCATCTAGAGCATCCATCCAGTGTTATCAGTCCCTAAACAAACAGATTGATTTCAGAAATGACTGCAGGCTTTTAGAGGGTAAGTAGTGAGTAGATGATTAGCAATGTGGATTAGAAGCCTCTGACTTTCTAGACAAGAATGGGATTCAGGCCAAGTCTTCTGCTTAATCACGTAGCGTAATGCAGTCGGCTTCAATGAGGCCATTAGTGAAGAGGCCTAATATGTCATGATTATTTGAAAGCAATTACAGATTATATTCAGTACACAAGGGCAAGACTCAGTCAACGAGTGAAATGGGTCTCATATCACCACAGGAATTCCAGTAGCTCACAAAACGGAGTCGTGCACAGACCCTGATGTTGACTACACACCCATTGCCTCCTCATACTCTCTGTGGAACTTTCTGGAGCATTTCTTTATTTCTTTGCCTAAGTGTGAGAGTGTCTTCGAGCAGAAATATGTTTACTCTCGTCGGGAAAACATCAGTCAGCTGTCACCTCCGAATTCCCCCGCACCGATTAGATAAGACCGCAGGACGTGCGGGGAAAGCTCTAGATTTTAAAGTCTAGACATGAAAAGACTCCTCTTCTCAGATGACTTACTGCGGGCGGAGATGCGCATACATTTTTCATTCGATAGTACAGTATGATAAATTCTAGAGTTCTGTGCTGTATTCAAGCATTATACTCAACATGTAGCACAGAGTTTGTTTGATATGCTATCTATTCTTTAAATTGCAAATCTCACAGAATTCATACTATCAAAGTTATCATTATGGGTTTACCTCTGAAAAAGAGAAAAAAAGTGTTTCTTAAGACCACTAAGAGCACAAAAATATTATTCAAGGACTATTTTTTCATACGGTAATTTTTTCTCATTTCATGGTAATAGGTTCACAGATACCCTTGATATTGCTATATATATATATATATATATATATATACATATATATTACTCTGAGATCTACAACAGTGAGAAATGATGGCTGAAAGTCATAACTAATACATATAAAAGAGAGGGACATGGAGAGAAAAACATAATCACTTGTGTTTGAGGATCACTACTACTGCCAAAATGATGTTCCCTTTCAGAGCTCCACAGCCTGTCAACACATCTATTATTCACAAATACTTTCAAAGACATTTAGACTCAAGTTCTCTCTAAGCCCTGAATATTAGCTGAGAGTGTGTCTCTGACATGAAATTGAACCTTTCTCTTTATTTTCCTCTTATTGAACTATATTTTGTCCACATAACAACCAGTGATAAGGGTGGACTAAATTCCTGTATAAGTACAGCAAAGTCATGGGTCATGAAATGAATATCTAGCAGATAAGCAATACCAGTAGAGGATCTGTGGATTACTAAAAGCTATGATTTAAGAAAAATCGAATTTACACAATTTTCCTACCCTAAATGTAGTCAACCAGCCATGTTCGGTGTTCAAAGTTTGCTTCTATAGTTCTGCACAGGAGCTAGGCTAATGTAGCTAACATGTAATTAGAGATGTTATAAGAAATAAGACAGGTCACTGGTTAAAATATGATTGGCTAAGCTCGTAACACTCAACATAGCATCTGTTTGCGGTAACTTGACCTTCCTTTTTAAATATTTCGGTGTCTCCTCATCCAAAAGGGATAGTGTTTGGTATTGTATGGCTGGGAATAGCTTCCCAGCGGTGTTGCAAAGATGGCCGCCGAGTGAACAGACTTTCCTATAAGGACTTTGAAGCAATAGAAGCTTATACTTCACCAACTAGCATTGTTCAAAGCAGAGATGTTAACTGAGTCACATGTTGACTGAGTCATGACTTGATTCAGAATCACCCTTAAAAGACTCATGACTCAAATTTCAGCCTGAGATAAAAACATAAAAAAAAGATTAAATTAGGCCAACATTTCTGCATTTACTGCAATTTCATTCTCCCACAGCTCACACCCACATAGCAAGAATATACTGGCATGCGGGCTCGATCAGGTCGGCACCCCGCTGACTGTAGACCACTGCTGGTCCACTCCTGTACCAACCAGTTTTACTGTCCTGCATACAAGGTCTAACTAGTTTTTATTCTCCTCAAACAGATTGTAGATGCACATAGTCTCTTATTTAGGAAAATAATTTAAGACAAATACTACAAAGAACTGAGGGAGAAAAAATCCTATTCCTCATATAAAATGATGCTGAACATGTGCTGACACTGTGCTAGATTAAAATTATTTACTACACTAATTTACATAAGATACCTAAAGAAAGAACTGGAAGACAAATAAGTAAATTGGACTGTGAGGGTAAAATGAGCAATGAAAAGCAGCATTTTGTCTAATACTCTGCTTAACCACCAGTGGGCTGCCCAGAAAACGCTGAGCAAAAAAGCCAGTGGACCACCAGCTTTGCTGTCAGCAGGTCAACAGTGGCCAGCTATCTGCTTGCTATGTGAACAGCAGCATCAGGTTAAATACAACTTCAAATAACAAGCCTTTCCTTTTAGAAAAAACCTTAAGTCTTAAGGACAGAATTAAGCACTACATGCAGTAAATGCAGTGTTAAAGGAAAGAGGCAAAGCAACTTGAAATGGTTGTCTACAACGTAGTTTGGATAGCAAGTTGCTAGTTAGCGCACTAGCTACTATTGCTAATGTTGTCAGCCAATCTGTCTGAAATTTTAGCAAATTACAGATCATATTTCTTTAAGAACTAGTTTCAACTGGATTAGTTATTGCGCTAGCTTATGTGCTATATAAACTACAGACTAACCAACCCAAGTTTCCTTTAAACACCGAATACTGAAGGCTTTTCTATAATGAAAGCCTTTTTAGTTGAAGCCATGTTGAACCTGACAGGTTTTTAATAAGAGTTTAAAAGTATTTTTGTAAAGTGAACCACCTACAGCTTAAAACAAAACTAAAATTGCCCAAAGACTTGAGACTCAAACTCACATGAAACAGTTTGTGAACACTGCTACTTCAAACTGTGTTGAGCTGTTAAGTAATTTCAAGTAGACCTGGTATAGACCTAGTACAGCAATTTGTACAAGAGAACACAATGTGTTTTTAGCCACATGTGTGATGACCAAGGCACAGATTGCACAGTGCTAACTAGAGTACATAAGCTACCATAACTTCTTAGCCACAGCCTCGTAGCTTCAGTGCACAACTAAAGAAGCAAACTTCACACACAAAACACATAGATAGCAAACATATATTGGTATGCTAGCTTGATAAAGTCAGCATCCCACTGGTCAACAACTGGTCCACCCTCGGACCACCCAGATTATTGTCCTGCATACAGGACTAACTAGTTTTTAATCTCCTCAAACATATTTTAAATGAACATAATCTTTTATTTTGGAAAATAAACTTAGACAAATATTACACACAACTAAAAGAAAAAAATAATGACTAGGCCTTTTATTAAAAACATTACTGTGCTAAGTTACAGCTGTATAACCTGCTGTATTTATGATATTGCTATTATAATTATTTACTTATTTACAAAGGATAACGAAAGAAAGAAATGAAAACAAAAATAAATTAGAAAAGAAAAAGCAGAGTGGAAAAACAAGTGATTATAAGTTGCATTTTGTCCTAATAATCTGCTTAATCACCAGCGGGCCGCAATGAAAACGCTGAACAAAATGCCAGTGGGCCACCAGCTTAGCCGTCAGCGGGTCAGCAGTGGCCTGCTATCCTCTTGCTATCTTGACTGATCAACTACATTTGGGGGAAAAGGGAAATGATGTAAATTAGGTTTTTTTTGTCAAGTGACTTCTTTAGGAGTGTGTGTGTGTGCCAGAGTCTGTGGCCTGTGGCAGTGTTTCTGCTCCTGTGTGTGGATGCCTGTGTTCAGTGTGTTGGGAATGTTCTCCTGCCACTCACCTCTGGCAGCCCACACACAGCACAACGATGAGGATGGTGACGACGAAAGCCGAGGCAGCGGCGATGGCCCCGAGCAGCAACACCTTGCCGTAGGGGGGAGCAGTGAAGTTCACCCCGTCCTGCATCGAGGCCATGTGAGAGTGTTCACACACGCTGGCTCGTTCGCTCCCACCGGCTCTCTCCTACGCACACACTCTGTACAACACACTCTCCACAGGATCTGAGGGACAGAGAGGGGAGAAAGGTTGCAGTTAAGTTCTACTTTGTTGCACTCTCTCTACACCCTTAAGATAGGAGATTCTACAGGGGTTCTCTAAGGTGATGATTATACACAGAACTGAGATAGCACAATAACACTTTTTCCTTTCAGATATGGATACAGATACTGATACTGAAACAGAGTATCGGCTGATAACGATATCAGTCTACTCCTCCTTTAGAACTACTCAGCTTTAAAATGAACTTTTTTAATTGAAGCAGTTTACTTAAGATGAGCTTCTAAAAGTAGACTATCAATTACTCAAAACACTCTACTACCCCACATGAAGAACTACACAGCTAACATCATCACATCACACAATATATGTGCTATTTCAGGCTAGATTTGTCTACAATGCAAATATAGCTGTTTTCTTTACCAGACAAAATGTCCAGTGAATCTACATGTGTTTTCACGGTTTTATATGTAATGTTGATTATGGTACAATGGTGGTTGACAAAATATGTTTTCTTTAGGAATTATTTTGCCTCACAACATGTATGTATATCTCCACCCGGAATGGAATTTAAAATGACATTTTAGGCCAAAACAAAAAATCAAAACTGTTGTAAAACAATGTCTCAGGCATCAGGCAGCATATTCATAAACATAACACGTAATAAGTTTCTTTGAGGTAACTCTTTGACCTTTTAACTTACAATCAGAAGTCACACACACACACATACACACACACACACACACACACACAGACACACATCATCTAAACCGCTTATCCTTCTGGGTTGTGGTGGGGTGCTGGAGCCTATCCCAGCTGTCATTGGGCGGAAGGCAGGATACACCCTGGACAGGTCGCCAGTCCATCACAGCAATCAGAAGTCAGATTAATTTAAAAATTTAAGACCAAAACATTTTTACAGTGTAGAGCAAAAAAGGGTCACAGAACCTTTTTTGGTACTATGTGGAACCCTTTTTGCTAAAAGTGAGTTAGCCCAAATGTCAACACTTACACAAATAAATGATGAGTCTCTGCAGGACTCTCTCTCTCTGTCTCTCTCTCCCCTTCCCTGAAGCCCTGCGTTATGCTGTGTGAATGAAACGCGAGAGCGTGTGAGAGAAGAGGAAGCCCCAGCTCCATCTATCTCCATTTCTCTCACTCTCACTCTGTCATTTTCGCCCCATTGACTGTCACTCAGCCCTCGGCGCGCACTATTATCCTCAGCTGCCTCCGTTCGGGGGGCATTTTTGATCTTTTCACGCTGACAGATTCACAAGCATCAGGCACTAAACCTGTCCATGGCTAGAAGTGCTTCTCTTGCTAGGATCAAGCAAAGGCAATGGCATGCATGCCTTAATGTATTCTTATCAGATCCTACACTGAACCTGTTTGTTTGGGTAAGATAACAGAAGAATTATTGCTGCTAATTCAGGCAAGCTATACTGCTTGAACTATTCATGTCATGAAGCAACACATCAATAAATAGAGATTTAATAAAAGAGGAAAATGAAAAGCAACCAGGTGCAATTTGAGAATGAGAAAGCTTTATTTACATATATAAGTCTACAACTTTCTGAAACGATGCCACAGCTTTGCTCCTAGGGTCACCATTTATCACAGTATCAGCTGACACTGTGGACCCATGACTTTCCACTCCAATCAAAATTCAGCGCAGTTTCAAACCAGGCAGTGATATTTATTCCTCAAAATAAAAAGCAGTGACACTATTAAAGACCATTTAAAACAACCTTGTAAACTACGTTACTATCAGTTCCAGACCACTGAACGTCTGTGTCCATTTCTACTAATGTAATAAATGATATTTTATTGAAAAATAACCAACTTAATGACTGTTTTGACTGGATATAAAAATAAACAAAGGGCGCACTCTGACTTGTGCACAGTACTGAACCTGGACATATGTATCCATTACTGTAAGGCTGCACGATATGGACGATGTGGTTATTGTGATTATACAGCTTCATATCGTGACTACAATATGCCTTATATTGGAAAACCGTTTATTTAACATGATTACCAACTGGCTTTTGTTATTATTTATGTTTGCTGAATCATGTGGATCCACTGGTTAATCAGATCACTCACAGAAATTCACCTGGAATGTACGAGGTTGGTCAAGATGCTCACAAAAAACTGGAGGGCTCATTTGCATATCACAACTATCTGCGATATCAATATTGCAAAGGCCAGTATTGTGATAACTGCTATGTTGTGTAATAGGGTGGATGATATGAACTCAAATCTGTACAAAAGCAGTATCATACCACAGTATACAAAAAACTAATTAAAATATTAATAATAGCTAATAGTATATTGCTAATATATTGGTATTATAGTTATATTAATAGCAAATCAACAACAATAATATTTATTATTATTTTTGTTATTATTATTATTTTCATAAATAATTACAATTAATTATTATTATCCATTATTATTCTTATTAATTCTATCCAGACAGCCAAAGCTAATAAATAATATGATACTACAGTTTACAACTGAAAAGTTTTCTTGTCTTTATTATGTAAAGATAAAGAAAAACAGATGTTTTATATTGTAAACCATTGCCATTTACATAGCCATTCAAAATATATACATATATACAACATACATTAGGGGTGTGGGAAAAAATCGATTCTTAGATGCATCGCGATGCGGACGTGAACGATTCTGAATCGATTCACAAACGTCAGAAATCGATTTTCTAAATATTTAATTTATAACGTAATGTTGACGGAACGCAAAGGGCGGAACTTTAAAGTGGGTAAATGCAGCGCCCGGACACCCCGTGAAACGCACATAACAAACACAACTGGATGAGCGAGAAATCCGACCGGCACCCTCTGCATTAAAAGCCAGGTTAGATCAGGAGTCACAACACAAATCATAAGAAGAGCCATTTTGTCCTTTCAACAAAAATCAAACCACCTTGGGAGCCACAGCATTTTATGTCCAGTATGTGTTAAGGTCCTAGTTTAGGCTAAAAAATATAAACGAAAATGCGGACTTACTCTGCTCTGCTCTCTCAAAAGTTGAATAGTTTCTTGTAAAATGTCTCTCAGCGTTCGACTGTTTTACAAGGCTGAAGTCGCTTCTCACTCGCCAGCTTCTTGCTGAACTTTCCCATTCCACCTTAAATTCTGACTGAGGCCCAGAATGTAAATACAGCACCATTTAAGGTGGAACGGGAAAATTCGAAAGAGAAGCGACTTCATCTTCACAACTTTTTAGTGTTTGACAGTCTCTCGTTGCAGATTTAACGTACCAGGAAACCAAGTGCGCTGCTTATAAATGCGAATAAGTCTGTTCATCTCCAAATGTTCGTCTGTCTTTCTCTTTTCCTTTTTCATTCGCTACTAGCCAGGCGAAACCTCGTTGCTATGTGACCTGCAGTCTGCATGCCCATTCTCAGTCGTTGAGAAACATCACTTCCATTTGTTTTATTAATAAAAGATATTGGACATAAACGTATTATGGATCATTACAAATACTTTGCTTTAAAACTACCAAGTCCTCAGACAGTAAGAAAATAGAAATCCTGTATAGAAAAAAAAGATGCATCGATAATCATTTTATAATCGCATCGCAGCCCTCTGACTCTTAATCAAATCGAATTGTGAGGTGCCTAGAGATTCCCACCCCTAACATACATACAGTACAAGTCATCACATTAAGTGAAAGACTGTTGCCTATATCTGTGAGTGAGACTGTGCCATCTACAGTGAAAACAGCCGTAATGCCCATTCCTCCCCCCTTTACCCTCCTTACAGTTACGTAGACTCCAATGCCTCTGGGGTAGCCGTGACCCAGACACACAACCCCCAACTCTCCACCCACGCCTCCATCTCATCCCCCCATCCACACCGTCTCCTCCAGCCCCACAACCACTCCCTCGCTGCACAAGGGCCACCTTCTCAATAGGGACACTGCAGGGACGTTGACAGGATACATAAATGCTCACTGAAATGAACTAACAGCAAAACAAGTGTCTAGTGTATACTCGTCCATTCACTGCCAGCACCGCTATCCTCCTATTCTCCTGTTAGCCTATACAACATCTTCTGTCCTTTACATGCCAGCTGGAGATGTGAATGAACATTCCTGAATGAGATTCCCACCCTGAATGGGTCATTTGCTTCCCACTTCCATGTACAGGCTTTTTATTCATGATTATTTGCCTCCACATTGCCCTCAGTGATAGCAGCAATAATAGCTATATGAATATTAGGAAATATCATATGACAGGCCTTGACTTAAAATGATATGGAGCGTGTGTATCTGTGTGTGTGTCTCTGTGTGTGGGAGGAAGGGGGATGCTTGCTTTGTGTGTCTGTCTGCCTGTTTGTTTATTGATCATGGTCTAATTTGGCAGCGGGTGGATGCTGAAATCAAAAACGAGTGTGTTTTAATCATTTGGCTCGTGATTGGTGTAGCATCAAAGGGAGCTGTGAGTCATGATGAGGGCTAAAAATATTTCCGTACACAGGCAAGCTCCGGCGCGCCAAGATGTCAAAAAACGTGGCAGGAAAACGAGAGGATGCAAGGAAATTTTTTCAATTTTGTCGTGCTCCCCTCCTCCCCAACCTCTTTTTTGTCTCTCGCTCGTTCTCAGGGGGGAAGAAGCCCTTGTTAGTGTGATGTGGTTTTCACAGGCGAGTAAACACACCCAAGACTTGGATTCCGTCTCAAACGCTGCAGGCGCCGTCGGCACCTACGCTGAACTCTGAAAGAATTTGAATCAGTGCTGCAACACACCACATTGTTAACATACTGATCCACAAAGGACCTACGGCCTGCTCTTCTACGGACAAAACGTCTCTTGCATGCTAACTTCAACTTCTAGAACAAACAAAACTGAGCCCAGAAATTAGATGCTCTAATACATCAACTTAATGAAGTTCTCTAAAACGTCTTTCACTACCCTTCAAACAGATGCTCAACTTTCTATAGCCTGCATCTACAATCAGCAGCCACTTTATTAAAA